AATTTGTTTGCTTTGTATTGCATGGTATATACTGAAATCGAGAATCACTTTGTATGTGATACATTCGACTACAAAATCCAGAGAGTTCCACTCCTTGATTCCAAGAGCACTACCTAGCACATAAACGCCTATATCTCCCTCGATACGTAGGCGATCGAGGTGATCTACGGCCCGTTGGAAAGCAAAGACAGAGCTCTACTGATTAGAACAAATCCCAGTTCCTGCAAAGTAGAGGAGAATCCTCTACAACACCCTCACCCTCCATGATCCGCGCCCCCAACACCTTTCCCTCCCCCCCCCCCCTCCTTTTCTGCTGCATGCGCAGCAGGGAGAGGGAGAACGAATTTGGGGGGGGCGGGTCCTCGGGCGACGAGGCAAGGGGCGACAAGGCCGCGGGCGACAGGTCCTCGGGCGACGTGGCCGCGGGAGACAGAGCCGCAGGCGACGGCGCCTTAAACAACAAATCCGCGGGTGACTGGGCCGCGGGCGACGGGGCTGGCGACGGGCAGCGGTTGCTGGCATTCGTGAACTCGCTGGTGGTTCTAGGGGCGATGGGTGACGGGCCGGGCCAAGGTGAGACGGGGCCGAGGGGCGACGGGCCTAGGGGCGACGGGGTCGGGGCCTAGGGGCAACGGTGCCGACGGGCCTAGGGGCGGCGGGCGCGACGGGCGACGGGCCGGAACCGGGGCCTAGGGGCGTCGGGCGCGAGCGACGGGGCCGAGGGGACTTGGTCGACGAGGGGCCGCGGGGCGTAGGGCCGTGCCTAGGGGAGCGACGGGCGCGAGCGACGGGCTGGGGGGGCGGAGCCTAAGGGCGACGGGCCTAGGGGCTAAGCGCGACGGGCGACGGGCCGGGACCGGAGCCTAGGGGTGACGAGGCCGAGGGGCGACGGGCCTAGGGGCGACGGGCACGAGCGACGGGCCGGGGCCTAACGTCGAGAGAAGGGCCACACGAGGGTGGCGTGTAGGGCAGCAGGTGGTGGGCCCAAAGAGAGTAGGTCCTCAGGTTAGAACCAGCTCTTAATACCATGTTAGAATAGTATGAGCCATAGCTAGGGTGTGAGCTAGGCAAATGTCGAGAGAGTTGAGATAGCAAGGAAGAAGTGATGCACTAAGAGAAAAAGGTACAAGATATAGGAGCGAGAGATGGCAAAGGGTGCACCACCTACAGAGACTAAAACAGTAACTACACTACAGCTATAACTATATGCAGTTATACAGAAATATATATATAATATATTCTGACAGACAGTGCTATGCGTCATTAGAAATTGTTAAATAAGTAGCCTTGAAAAATACCGAATTTCTGCTATTGATTAATTAATGAACTTTATTTCATTAGTTTTGAATGATTGATTCTATACTAGTATACATTTTTAGGGATAATGCTACTACAGTTTTGATAAAGTGTATTTGCATTCTATACAGATTATTGTTAGATGCGCCTCGTGCACAGGCCAATAGGGTCAGTTCCAACAGATTCGGAACCCCAATGACCCAAATCGCCAAACCAAACGAACTGAGTACTCGGCCAATCAGAGTGATTTCCGAACCAAATAAATTGCTCTCGACGATTGGTTCCGAAAGTGTTGGGAGAGACTCACGTGCGGTCCGCTCACTAAGCATCATGCCCGGCATTCCCGAACAAGCTTTCAAAACACACACCTGAAAGCAACTTCAAAAGCATCTTCTGCGCAGGATTTTGAGCCCACGTTTTTTTTTATGTAGAATCATGGTGTTTTTTTTTTCGAATTTCCAGAAATAACGCATGAAGGGTTTTCACACGCGACAATGGGCAATGAGAGAGCCCGATGCCGCGGACGCGCAGCGCACGTGTCCGCTGACTCTATAAAAATGCGGCTCGGGGCCTAGTAGTATCCTCGAGGCGGTCGAGGCAGGGGTCGCGGAAGGATTGGTGTGGGAACATGCTGATGGGTGGGAGCATGGGCACAGCCAGAGGAGGAAGATTGACTTGACGTTACGTATCGTCAATTCATGCACTTAACACAGTTCATGCGACCCGCCCAAAGTTTATTGCTCTTCCAATTTTGTTAATAACTTCTCCAGCTTCCAATGGCATGACTGCAACAGACATGCACTACTCGTATCTCGCTGCCTTCTATTCACGCTCACCCTCCCTTTACTGCACCAACTCATCCTTTAACAATTCACTCACCCCTGCACCCTCAAATCACACCCTTCCCCCACCACCCCCCCCCCCCCCCCCCCCCCCCCTTCCCCCTCTCCCCCTCAACGCACCCCTCGCTTTCTGTCATGGAAAGCAGCGGGTCCCGGGTGGTGCTTGCATGCGGAATCAGAGTTGTCAATCTCCCAGTACTTAACGCCACACCCCTTGTTGCTGCACCATACTCCCTCCTACCCTGCACGCTCAACTCACCCCACCACCATCAATCCACCCCTTGTTGCTGCGCCACACGCCCTCTTAACCCGCACTCTCAGTTCACCCCAACATACACAACGCCTTCAATGCACCCCTCGCTTTCTGTCATGAAACACGGCCGGCCCCCGGTGGTGCTTGCAGGCGCCATCACTGTTGTCAATCTCCCGGTACTTGGCGCCACACCCCTTGTTGCTGCACGTGCGCTCCGCATTGATGTCCCACGAGGGTGGGCGGGAGGGCTGGGGGGGGGCGGCTGCAGACGAACCTGCAGGGTGTAGAGAGGAGTGGGTGGGTTTCAGGAGGGGAGGATCAAAGAGAGGATTGTCAATCTTCCGGTACTTGGCTTGGCGCCACACCCCTTGTTGCTGCACATGCGCTCAGCATTGATGTCCCACGACGGCGGCCGGGAGGGCTGGGGGGGAGCAGCAGCAGATGAAGCTGCAGGGTGTAGTGTAGGGAGGGGAAAAAGGGAGTGAAGTTGTTGAGGTATCAAACAGCTAATAGAATCGACTGGCAATCGAACTTGAATGAATTCTACAGCTAATAGAATCGGCTGGCAATCGAACAGCTAACGTAGGAGGTTCTAGAGATAGTTTCGGATGTGCAGCAGTTGGTGACGGTGCACCTCCGCAATGACACCCAACAAACTCTACCCTACCTCTTCTTTTCGACGTTTGATGATCTACGAGCTGTAAGTTCATAACAACAATAATTCGTGCTTAGCTGCAATTATGGTTGTAATGATCAAACATCGAAAATAAGAGTTAGGGTAGAGTGTGTTGGGTGTCATCGAAAAGGTGCACCATTATCAACTACTGCACCGAAAATGCCTTTAGAATCTCCTCTGTTGAAGGTAAAAACTCCCTACAACCGCACATATCCACCTTCCCCAACACTTCCCACATAGTGCGTGAAGTTTGCTGCAACTCCACGTTGCTAGAGGAATTTAATGATTTTCTTGAAATTGTCAACGGGAGTTGTTGTTGGCCCCGTCCTCGCTTATTGGTCTTCGTTACTTTCTTGCTCGAGAGTTGTAGCAGCGTGGTCAGCTTCGCCTTGCTTACGTGGCCTCTTGAGCCAACACTGCTGATGTTTTCACCAAGGCCCTTGAGTCTGGTGATCATCAGCATTTCTACACTACTCTAGGCCTTGTGCCTTCTCTGCCTCACCAAGTGGTTGCTTGACTTTGCCTTGTACTGTGATCTTTATATATGTACCTGCATGCTTGCTCTTGCTAGGTTGTGATCACTGTGCTGCATGTGCCTTTATAACTCTGCATGTGGAATGGCATTTGTCAACGGGAGTTGTTGTTGGCCCCGTGTTTGCTTGGGCGGAGCCGACCTCGGGGTCGGGTGTGAGGAGTGCAGCCGACCTGCAACACTGGGCGAGTTGGTCGACGGGCCTGGTCGACCTGCACAAGGGCCACTGCAAGGGCGCCGAATTTGGGAGGGCGCCAACTTCGGCTGGTCGACTTCGGAGGTCGACCAGTGGAGGGCGTCGACTTGGGTGACGCCGACCAGGGGAAGCCGACTGGATGTGGTCGGCTGGCATGTGTGCTGGTCAACTTGGAGTTGGTCGACCAGGTGGGTTGTCGACCTGGAGTTGGTCGACCAGGGGAGTGGTCGACCTGGTGAGGTCGACATGTGGTGGTCGTCGACCTGGGCGGTCGACGGGCCTGGGATGACACACCTGGTCGACATGGTTGCCTGGTTGACCACGTTACCCGGACGACAAGGTTTGCGAGATTCGCGACTGTCACCCAGGTACATTGGCAATGTCGACCTGCGGTTCGGTGGCACGTGGTCAACAGGACTCCTCAGGTGCAACCGTCCACATGTGGTCGACTTGGCACCTGCGCAATGTGCGTGGCGGCGAATGTCGTTACCGTCACCTTGCACCTGCGAAGTAGGTGCGCGCACATGAGCACGTGTGGTGACCTATGGTGGCCTGTTGTTGGTGTGCTGGCACGCCAGCCTTGTAGCTCGACTGAGGACGCCTGAGGTCGACCAGCTGGCAAGTCGCCTTCGCGCTGAGCTGGTGGTCGACTTGTATGCTAGGCTTCTGATGTAGTCTATCTTGCCAATCTAGTTGCTGCCATTGTTCTCAACTTTTGCTAGTGAAACTCTTGTGGTTTTGCCCTGTGAACGCACAAGTGCTAGAGAACGACTAAGTGAACGACTAAGTGAACGAACGCAGAGATCCCTCCTACCCCGTGCCTAGCCCGTAATAAAGCTCCCGTTGATAGAGTTATCTCCGCAGAAATAACTGTCTCATAAGAAATACACAAGTCACCTAGCATACCAAGATAATGATCGCATGCACCAGCACAACACATGCCCATGTAACTCACCTTGCCGTGCACTATGATCAGAGGAGAAAAATCCCTGAGAGCACTGATTGCTTGCTGTGTACTGGCATCAGGATCACATGCACCAACCCAGCAGCACGTCCCCACGTCACCTTGCCATGCACTGTGATCACAGCAGAAGAAGCCCTACGCGCATCAATTGCATGCTGCCTGCTCCACTCACTCAAGAGCCACCTGATACACTGGGATTATGATTGCATGCACCAGCACAACACATGCCCATGTCACTCACCTTGCCGTGCACTGTGATCAGAGCAAAAGAAGCCCTGAGAGCATCTATTGCACGCTGCCTGCTGCTGCGACGATGCTACTGCTGCTGGCGATGCTTCTGTTGCCGCGGTTGCTGCCTCTGCTGTCACTCCTGCTGCTCGAACAGGGGATGGCATTGGTGGTGCTGGTGCTGGTGCTGCAGGGGAGATTGGTTTTGGCTTCTCAGTGGTGTGCTTGCCTTGCTTGCAGCTGTAAAGGAGCCCAGAAGGAGGGGGCAAGGCACGAGCAGAAGGTTGGGAACAAAGACGCCCGTGAATCAACAGCGAATACGAAACCAAGCACAGTCATATAGTTCCGATACACTGATACACAAATACATACAAAAGGAACACATAACTCTTATACTCAAAAGCAAAAATGAAAGAGACACGCGCAGGCAGAGACGAGGGTGGCAGGGCGGGCATGCAGATAGGACAAAAGCACGCCCAAGTGTCAAGGTATGCTGGAATGAATCGCATGCGTTACCCTGGTGTGAATTCGATTGTTTGCATGCGATGCATTACCCTGGTGTGCATTCGATTGTTTGCATGCGATGCGTTACCCTGGGATGGAGAGGAAGAGCGAGAAATCGTGGCTTCGCTTGTGGCAGCACATCCACTCCTTGGTGCCGTCGTGGAAAATTGGCTGAGAAAGGGGAAGAAGGGCGGAGGGAAAGGGGGGAAATGGAAGGGGGCAGGGGTGTGTAAGAATGAAAGGGAGAAGAGAATGACTCAGAAGTGCAGGCTTCGCTTGTGGCAGCACACCCATTCCTTGGTGCCGTCGTGGAATATCGGCTGTTGGTGAGAAGTTGGGGCAGTGGTGGGGGGACCAAGGGGAAGAGGGAGAGAGGGAGGGAGGGAAGGAAAGAAGAAGCGGTCAAGAAAGACGGGGGGGAACTAGCATCCCCAAAGTTTAGACACGTGCCACCAACCCATTTGGCCATCTGCCCCTCTTAGTCTCGTCATCAGTTCGATTCTCTTGATTCAAGCATCTCACTATACTTTCACCTCTTCATCTCGCCATCTCTCGTCATCCGTTCACCTTTTCCTCTCTTCGCTTATAGATTTGCTTAGTTCCCTTCATCTGCCCATCTCATCACTTGCTCATCCACGTATCCACTGAAGAGCATACTGGCTGATTGAAGAGCAGGGATGATGCAGGTGTTGATGTCAACAGCAGGTGTTGATGTTGTGGGCCAATCATGCCGTCACGCAATGTATTTCAACCCATACACCCCATACGGCATGGGCAGAGGGGGGGAAAGATTGGAGAGCGAACGACTGAATGAGACGAGTAGAAAAATGGGGCATGTGGTACGATGGGACATGCGATGGGGCATGGGGTGGAATGGGTAGGGCATGGGGAAGATTTGAGAAAAATGATGAGGTGAATTAGGCAAATGGTGCAGGATCCAGGAACGGTGCATGAGGTGACTTTTGAGTCGACTCAAAAGTCACCTGGATTGGAGAGAAATGATGAGGTGAACCAGGCAAATGGTGCAGGATTCAGGAACGGTGCATGTGCGATGGGTGTTGCGACGGAGCATGTGATGCGATGGGCATGCGATGCGATGGGCATGCGATGCGATGGGCATGTGATGCGATGGGCATATATTCCAAAATCGATGGGCATGCGACGGTGCATGTGATGCGATGGGCATGCGACGGGGAAAGTGGTGCGCGCCGAGACAAACGACGGGGCAGATCACTCATAACGCAGGGTGAATTCACGACACAGAAACTCGAGTAGAAGGCCGTCAGAGCCTCTTGAGACGCGACAAGAGGCACGCGCGACTGCTTTAACCCTGGTTAAGAAGGTCTATCACCTCATACGTCAAAGTGCGTGTCAGTGTTTTTACCCCTGGATGGTAGCAGCAGCTCGTGTCGTCGTTTTCTGCGTCCGTGAAATACGCGTCACACCCGATCCTCTCGCACCGCTTCCTTCCCTCCGCGTTTATCGCGGGCGACATGGCCTACGCTCTTTCAACCGTGATCGAAATTATGGGAATGAGAACGAATGTTGGGATCGTAAGAAACAAGCTCGGTGAGATCACACTGAAGCAGCGTCACTAGTAGTCGATTCGCGCGTTTATCGCGGGCGACATGGCCGAAGCGCTTTCAAATCGTCGAAATCGGAAAGCCCACGAAGAGAGCGCGGCAGAAGAAGCGCCTGATATCACGTGAAAGAAATGTTGATTTTCGATGCGCGCGTGCATCGCCCGTAGTCAAAAACCGCCAGTGAAACGGCTTTTATTTCTGCTAGCAGCTTGAACGAAGTTCGGCTGGTGTCGCATTCTAGTAGGGGTTGGCGTTGACTGTCGATCTAGATGTTTCGAGGATGTTCCACGCCCTAAGAGAAGACTCGCCGCGTTCTTGAAAACAAGAAAATACACCAATGGAATGTTGCACTCATGCGATATAACTGGAAGGGCAAACCGCTACTTTGATGCTATTAATTCCACCACACCATCCATCATATAATTTCAGGGCCCGAATGTTACGGTGCTATGCTGTGTTAGTATCTGTCACTCATGGCTATTATTATAATAAAAGGGTAGTTCTATCAAGGTTCTTCTAATGTTATGAAGTCAGACTGCACTTGCAATAATGTATAACAGATTCATGAAAGTTTCTTGCTGTTAGCTGTGTTGGACCCTTCGGATCGTTTTCAAGGACTAAAGCTCAGAGTGATGTACGGTATTAGCGGAAGCGTCTTTAATGAAGGTTGATGTCAGAACATGATAGCTTCTACATTTGTGTATGTCAGAATGTGATGTTTGTGTAGCCTGCAACGGGGTACTCTATAGCGAGTACAGCCCGAATTAGGGTTTGCTATATGTACTGAACTGCATGCTAGTGAAAACCCCTCTTTCCTGTTTGTTGATTCTGCCTAGCTTTCAACATGCTATCAGAGCAGGTCGACCCTCCTGGGTCGATCCTGTGGGTGGGTCCCACCCGATGCTTCCGCTGCTCTACTGCTTGTAGCGCGCCCCGGGCGCGTGCTGTTTCTTGCCTGCCGCGCGCTCCGGGCGCGCAGCGATTTTTCTTCCCGCCGCGCGCCCCGAGGCGCGCGGCGGTTTTCTTCCCCGTCAAACCGTCGCGTCGCCCCCCGTCGCCCGACGCGGCCCGCACGACCTGCGTCAGGCCCGCGCGCGGCCCGTACGGGCTGCGCCAGGCCCGCGCGCGACCCGTACGGGCTGCGCCAGGCCCGCGCGCGGCTCGGGCAGCCCGCGCGCGGTTCGTACGGGCTGCACCAGGCCAGTGAGCGGCCCGTCTTGTCTCCCCCCTTGCCGCACGCCGTCCCCCGAGCTCCTGACTGCGCCCCACTCCCGCTGCTGCCTGCGTTCCTGTGTTAGGGTTTGGGGGTGGAGAGTATGGGGGTGCCGGGTGTGTGTGCCGTCCCCTACTCCTCCTCCTCCTCCGTCTCCCACTGCTGCAGCTGCCGCTGAGGGGGGTGGATGTGTTGGAGCCGTCGGAGTGGTACGAGGGGGGTGGTGTGTGAGCGGTGCTAGAGGTTCAATAAGGGGAGTGTGAAAGGGGTGTGGGACAGTTGGGGGAGGTTGACCGGAGGTTGCCGTTGTGACGTCTGCAGCGCCAGTAGTCCGGGGGTTGAGTACTCCGGTAGCCCAGCGAGCCTGCTGCTGCCAGTCGCCCGTGGGTCTGTTGCTCCTGCTGCTGCTTAGCGCGGAGCCAGTTACTCCTGTAGTCCGGAGGTTGAGTGCTCTGGTAGCCACCGTGCGCGCCGTTCCTGTTGCCCGTGTGTCTGCGGCTTCACCCGTCGCCTTCTATCTTCACTCCTCTCACAGTCTCTCCTCCTCCTCACTTGCCCTCTGTGACTGCCTCTAGCCTTGCTTATCATTGTAAACTGTTACTTTTTGTACTTGTGCTCAGAATGTGTGGTGACATTGTGATCCACCCTGAGCTTGTTTTCTGCTTTGCCTGCTTGTTGTTTTGATTGTACCCCACTTTGACTATGGGGGTGTGTCAGAATGTGATGTTTGTGTAGCCTGCAGTGGGGTACTCTATAGCGAGTACAGCCCGAATTAGGGTTTGCTATATGTACTGAACTGCATGCTAGTGAAAACCCCTCTTTCCTGTTTGTTGATTCTGCCTAGCTTTCAACAGTGTAGGCTATGGTGGGGTAGCCCATAAACGGTACAACCCAATTAGGGTTAGTACTTGTACCCAACTCTTTGCTAGTTCATTCATTCTCGTTCACAACATTCTAACATGGTTTCAGAGCAGGTCCCCTAGGACCGGTTTGTTTTTGGACCCACCACCTACTACCCTGCTAGCCTAGGCCCGCGCCCGTTGCCCCTAGGCCCCAGCCCGTCGCCACCCCTAGTCCGGCCCGTCGCCCCTTGGCATCGCCCCTAGCCCCTGCCTCGGCCCCTTGGCCCCGTCGACCCCGTCGCCCCTAGCTCGGCCCCTCGGCCCCGTCGCCTCGGCACCGCGGCCCCCTCGCCCCTAGCTCGGCCCCTCGGCCCCTCGGCCCCGTTGGCCCCGTCTCCTCGGCCCCGTCGCCCCTAGCTCGGCCCCTCGGCCCCGTTGCCTCGGCCCCGCGGCCCCGTCGCCCCTAGCCGCGGCCCCGTCGACCCCGTCGCCCCTAGCTCGGCCCCTCGGCCCCGTCGCCTCGGCCCCTTGGCCCCGTCGCCCCTAGCCGCGGCCCCGTCGGCCCCGTCGCCCCTAGCTCGGCCCCTCGGCCCTGTTGCCTCGGCCCCGCGGCCCCGTCGCCCCTATCTCGGCCCCGCGGCCCCGTCACCTCGGCCCCTCGGCCCAGTCGCCTCGGCCCCGCGGCCCCGTCGCCCCTAGCTCGGCCCCTCAGCCCCGTCGCCTCGGCCCCGCGGCCCCGTTGCTCCTAGCCGCGGACCCGTCGACCCCGTCGCCCCTAGCTTGGCCCCTCGGCCCCGTCGCCTCGGCCCCGCGGCCCCGTCGCCCCTAGCTCGGCTCCTCGGCCCCGTCACCTCGGCCCCTTGGCCCCCTTCGCCCCCAGCTGCGTCCCCGTCGCCCCTAGCTTGGCCCTGTCGACCCCGTCGCCCCTAGCTCGGCCCCTCGGCCCCGTCGCCCTTAGCTCGGCCCCTCGGCCCCGTTGCCTCGGCCCCTCGGCCCCGTCGCCCCTAGCTCGGCCCCTCGGCCCCGTCACCTCGGCCCCTTGGCCCCTTCGCCCCTAGCCGCGGCCCCGTCGCCCCTAGCTTGGCCCCGTCGACCCCATCGCCCCTAGCTCGGCCCCTCGGCCCCGTCGCCTCGGCCCCGCGGCCCCGTCGCCCCTAGCTCGGCCCCTCGGCACCGTCGCCTTGGCCCCTTGGCCCCTTCTCCCCTAGCCACGGCCCCGTCGCCCCCAGCTTGGCCCCGTCGGCCCTGTCGCCCCTAGCTCGGCCCCTCCGCCCTCCCTGGCCCCCAGGCACCTCCGCCCCTCGGCCCCCCCCTTGGCCCCTCTTGTTTGGCCCCTCGGCCCCTCGCCCCTAGGCCCCTTTCCCCCCCCCCCCCCCACCCCCTTAGCCCCTCGTGTTTGGCCCCTCAGCCCCCTAGCCACTAGGCACCAAGGCCCCTCGGCCCCTCGCCCCTTGGCCCCTCGGCCCCTTGGCCCCTCGTGTTTGGCCCCTCAGCCCCTAGGCCCCAGGCCCCTCGGCCCCTTGACCACTACTG